ATCACTTATTACATACCACACACCGTATATTGTCACATTGTATGTTGGACCACCTGGACCGGATGGATCTCCTGGGATAGCGAGTAAGTTTCATAGTAACATCACTTATTACATACCACACACCGTATATTGTCACATTGTATGTTGGACCACCTGGACTGGATGGATCTCCTGGGATAGCGAGTAAGTTTCATAGTAACATCACTTATTACATACCACACACCGTATATTGTCACATTGTATGTTGGACCACCTGGACTGGATGGATCTCCCGGGATAGCGAGTAAGTTTCATAGTAACATCACTTATTACATACCACACACCGTATATTGTCACATTGTATGTTGGACCACCTGGACTGGATGGATCTCCTGGGATAGCGAGTAAGTTTCATAGTAACATCACTTATTACATACCACACACATTATATTGTCACATTGTATGTTGGACCACCTGGACTGGATGGATCTCCTGGGATAGCGAGTAAGTTTCATAGTAACATCACTTATTACATACCACACACCGTATATTGTCACATTGTATGTTGGACCACCTGGACTGGATGGATCTCCTGGGATAGCGAGTAAGTTTCATAGTAACATCACTTATTACATACCACACACCGTATATTGTCACATTGTATGTTGGACCACCTGGACTGGATGGATCTCCTGGGATAGCGAGTAAGTTTCATAGTAACATCACTTATTACATACCACACACCGTATATTGTCACATTGTATGTTGGACCACCTGGACTGGATGGATCTCCTGGGATAGCGAGTAAGTTTCATAGTAACATCACTTATTACATACCACACACCGTATATTGTCACATTGTATGTTGGACCACCTGGACTGGATGGATCTCCTGGGATAGCGAGTAAGTTTCATAGTAACATCACTTATTACATACCACACACCGTATATTGTCACATTGTATGTTGGACCACCTGGACTGGATGGATCTCCTGGGATAGCGAGTAAGTTTCATAGTAACATCACTTATTACATACCACACACCGTATATTGTCACATTGTATGTTGGACCACCTGGACTGGATGGATCTCCTGGGATAGCGAGTAAGTTTCATAGTAACATCACTTATTACATACCACACACCGTATATTGTCACATTGTATGTTGGACCACCTGGATTGGATGGATCTCCTGGGATAGCGAGTAAGTTTCATAGTAACATCACTTATTACATACCACACACCGTATATTGTCACATTGTATGTTGGACCACCTGGATTGGATGGATCTCCTGGGATAGCGAGTAAGTTTCATAGTAACATCACTTGTTACATACCACACACCGTATATTGTCACATTGTACATAGCATACAATTTCCGTTTTACAATCATCAGCCGCGCTATTTTGTATTTTAAATGTTACTTTAAGTATTAGTTACGAACGGAAAAATACGTCCAGGGTAGCCGAGTGGACAAGGCACCTGCCCGGTAAGCAGAAGGGTGTGGGTTCGATTCCCGCCCCTGGACACTTTTTATTTTTCCGTTCGCCATTACTCTTCATATTTCACCTTTCCATACCTCATCCTCAAAGTTAGAAATGTCGCTATTTCTCTTTGAAAATAAATTTCGATTTTTATAAAAGAAACATTCGCGGTATAATTTCAATTTTCGTTTTACAATCATCAGCCGCGCTATATTGTATTTTAAATACAATATAATATAATGCGGCCCATGATTGCAAAACAACATTTGAAAACTATCCCGCATGTATTTCTTTTCAACGAAAAATCAAAATTTATTTTAAGGAGAAATAACGATTATTTCTAACCCCAGGGATGAAGTATGAAAGAATGAGTTGTGAAGAGTAATGATAAACGGAAAAATAAAAGTGTCCATGGGATGGGAATCGAATCCACAGTGTTCCGCTTACCAGGCAGATGCCATGTCCACTAGACTACCCTGGTCATATTTTTCCGTTCGTAAATATTATATAAAGTAATTTATAATACAATATAATATAATGTGTGTGGTTGCAAAATGATATTTGAAAACCATCCCGCATGAATTTCTTTTCATCGAAAAATCAAAATTAAACGCATTATATTATATTGTATTATAAATTACTTTATATATTATTCATGAACAGAGAAATATGTCCAGGTTAGCCTAGTGGACATGGCATCTACCCGGTAAGCGGAACACTGTGGGTTCGATTCCCATCCCTGGACACTTTTATTTTTCCGTTTATCATTACTCTTCACAATTCATCCTTTCATAATTCATCCCTAAGGTTAAAAATAATCATTATTTCTCCTTAAAATAAATTTTGATATTTTGTTGAAAAGAAATACATGCGGGATAGTTTTCAAATGTAGTTTTGCAAATTGTACATAGCATTTGCCACACTGTACACAGAATTTTTTACACTTCAAATATCAGATTTCAGGTAAAAATATTCCTATATACATTATTACATATTTACATACATTATTACATATTTACATACATTATTACGTATTTACATACATTATTACATATACATATTATAATGCCTTCCATCTATCAGGAAAATTGTCAATAAACACAATAAAAAGTGTGTGACGTTTTGGCAACAGTGTTGTTACCATCTTCAGAAAAAAGTACTGAATTAGAAATTTTACCACCGCATGTTCCAAATTTACACACTCAATAACAGGAATTATTTAAAAACATGCTGTGGTAAAATTTCTCATTCAGTACTTTTGTTTGAAGATGGTCTTCTTCTTCTTCTTTCTTATCTCCACTTAATCATTCATGACTGGGTGAAGTAGAATGCATCTGCCTTTGTCATTAAGACTGGGAGTATTACTCAGTGGCAGGCCGACTTAGCTCCAAAAGAAATGGCCACCTCTGACATGAGGAACAGACACCATGTGCAGCCGCTCCTAACATGGAGTACAAACGCTGCTCATCCTGTGTCCCTGGATTAGGAGCCCTGAAGATGGTAACAATGCTGAAACATCACACAATATTTATTTTTTTGGATTTGGTGTCTTATTACCTTGTGTTTAAAATATTTTAAATGAATAAAAACACAGAGAATTTTTGTGTTGCCAGCCATAAAGGGGGAACGAGGAGAACCAGGTGTACCTGGAAGAGGTGGACTTCCCGGACTAATGGGTTTAAAGGGAGAAGCGGGGGATCCTGGATTTGACGGTGAACCTGGACTTAAAGGTTATCCAGGATATGGTTATCTCGGGTACAAAGGAGAGCCTGGAATAGCCGGACTTCCCGGACAACCTGGTCAGGATGGATACGTAGGCAGGAAAGGAGAACCTGGGCTTGATGGACACCCAGGATTCCCTGGAATAGCTGGTGATCCTGGTTACCCAGGTTTACCTGGAGGCCCTGGACTTCCTGGGACTCCAGGAAGACCGGTAAGTGAATGGACTCTGTGGTTTGATTATGTTGTTTTTATATATATACAGTTAAACCTGTCTATGGTTACCCCTCTAAATAGCGCTTCCCTCTCTATAGCTCCTTATTTTAAATATGTAGTACGATGTCCTTCTTCTTCTTCTTCCTTATCTCCACTCAATCATATTAGGGTATCAAGTTGTGACCCTTGATGGTGTCTGTTTGACAACCATCATGACTGGGTGAAGTAGAATGCCATTGTCATTAAGACTGGGAGCACTACTCAGTAGCAGGCCACTGACTTAGCTCCAAAATAAAAGGTCACCTCTGACATGAGGAACAGACGCCATGTGCAGCTGCTCCTAACATGGAGTACAAACGCTGCTCATCCTGTGTCCTTGGATTAGAAGTCCTTACAGGGTACTATCAACATGGCCAGCTGAGCCCAGGTTTTTTAGTGAGCTTGTTACTGCTCCCCCTCCTCCTTTTTCATCTGGGCTTGGGACCGGCAAAGGCGGAGTTGTAGTACGATGCGATATACATTAAAAGTGACCTATCTATAGCACCCCCTCTAAATAACGCCTCCCTCTCTATAGAGCCTGATGTTAAATACGTAGTATGATGGGATTTACATTAAAAGTGTCTGTCTATAGCATCCCCTCTCTATAGCACCATATTTTGGTGAGTCCCAAGAGGGGGCGCTATAGACAGGTTTACCTATATATTATCCCATAAGGCACAATTTAGATTATAATTTATAAACAAAAGGTAATAAGGCCAAATCCAAATAAATAAATTACACACACTATTTATTTATTTGGATTTGGTCTTATTACCTTGTGTTTATAATCTATAATCCAAATTGTGCCTTATCAAGTTTTACAGTGTAATATAATATAAATGCTTTAAATAGATTTGACCATTGACTAAAAACATTATTGTTTTTAAATATGTAAATTAGGTCTAGAAGATTTCCCTAAGCCTGGTCATAGTTGTTTGTATATATTCCACATTACGCGGCCATTGGGACACAAAAATCATTTTATTTTGGTTAGCAGCATATCAATTTATTTTCACATCTAAATAAAAATATTGACCCAAAATCTTTCTTGATAAGCCAAAAAACTCTAACAGTTAACGGTGATCGGCTATGGTGCCTCTTCAGCCTGGTGGAAGAGTCCGGCCCCAAACCCGGATGAAAAAGGAGGAGGGGGAGCAGTAACAAGCTCACTAAAAAACCTGGACTCAGCTGGCCATGCTGATAGTACCCTGTAAGGACTCCAGGGATACAGGATGAGCAGCATTTGTACTCCATGTTGGCTGTACATGATGTCTGTTCCTCATGTCACCATTTCATATTGGAGCTAAGTCAGTGGCCTGCCACTGAGTAGTGCTCCTAGTCCTAATGATAACTAAATCTATAGGTAGTTAAGAAACTAATTGACGAATAACTGAGAAAATATTTTAGACCAATATGCAAAAATGCATTTAAATATAACATATTTACCGTCAATGTGGTTTGTATATATTCCGCTTTACGCGGCCATTGGGGCTCAAAAATCGTTTTATTTTGGTTAGCAGCCCCGTAAATAAAGATATTTCTTACTCCTCTAGTAGATTTATAATATTAGGTGGGTGGTTTAAACCGTTGGTTTTCAACCACTACGACCCGGGTTCGATTCCCGCATTAGGCACTTTTTTATGTTAAAAAAAAAAATGCTCCAATGGCCCCCGATTCTTGCAAAAGTCCAACCCCACCAGCGAGTGCAAGTAACCAAACGAGGCTCTGGCACATTTGTAAGTGCAAAGTCGAACTGCTTTTCACATGTGTAGACATGTGGTGTGCTTACAGTAAAAGCAGTCGCTAACTACTCACCATGATTATCATGGCCTGTACCATGTGTAGACATGTGGTGTACTTACAGTAAAAGCAGTCGCTAACTACACACCAAGATTATCATGGCCTGTCCCATGTTGTGTACTTACAGTAAAAGTAGTCGCTAACTACCCACCAGGATTGGGATGTGGTGTACTTACTGCAATGTGGTGCACTAGCAGTCACCTACCCACCATGATTATCATGGCCTGTACCACATGTACTAGGAATAAGAAAAAAAATTAGGTATGTTGCACTTTGTTAATTAAATAAATAAGTCTTTTATAAAGATATATCTTTCTTCAGTAAAAATAATAAGCAAAACAATATTACATATGGCAAATGTTTTTTTTTTTACAGAACATAAAAATAGAAATTTTCATTATTTTAAGGAGAAATAATGACTATTCCTATCTACACAAGGTAATAAGATACCAAATCCACATAAATAGTGTGTGACAAGGCACATTTTGGATTATTCTATATACAGTTACGAGCGTCATTCCTCATCTCCTAATCAATCAGTCATCAGTTTTCATCTTTGTCACCGTTTGCTTTTTTTTTGGAATGGCGCCCTCCTATTGGTTGGCTACGGTCACGCCACCTTTGCCCCCTCCCCCCCCCCCCATCATGCCCTCCCCCCCCACTTGCTATTTTGTCTTTGTAACTATTGTGTTGGAGCGGGTCGTTCCCTAAATAAATGCATATATTAGATAATAACCAAATGGAATCCTCTCTTTCTTTTTCCCAGTAAGAGACGCCTACGGAAGCCAACAGTACATAGACAGATAAAGCACATAGGCTATAGTTATTAACTAACATATGCAATTATTTAAGGCGCCAATTTATAATTGTATCAAATAGTATTTGAATCAAAACATTCAATCGGGTAAAACACGGGCGTTGCCCGGGTCATTCGGCTAGTAGATTATAAACAAAAGGTAATAAGACACCAAATCTAAATAAATAAATAGTGTGTGATGTTTCAGTAACAGTGTTGTTACCATCATCAGACAAAAGTACTGAATGAGAAATTTTACCACAGCAAAAATATATTTTTTTAAAGTGGGGTTTTTCCACTTTTAATTCTAAGAATATAATTCTGTGTTTCTCAGAAAACTATCTTCTCCTTATCTGCTATCTTGTTTTACATACTTGATAACAGTAACTATTTAAGCCATGCTGTGGTAACATTTCTCATTCAGTACTTTTGTCTGAAGATGGTAACAATACTGTTACCCAAACGTCACACACTATTTATTTATTTAGATTTTGTAATTATTATGTTTAATGTTTTATATATAATTTGTTACATGTACCTTGTGTATTATAGGGAATTAGAACAAATCTCTAACTTGGGGATGTTGAAGGGTTTGGACGGAATCCCTGGAGGTCCAGGACCTAAGGGAGATCCTGGATTCTATGGAAATCCAGGCTTTGATGGACTTCGAGGTCTTCAGGGAGATACCGGACCTCAAGGCATGTCGGGAATACCCGGACTTCCTGGATATCCCGGTGAGTTGGCTGTAAGAAAGTCCAACAATCCATGGAGGGCCTATACCTTCACTCTGTGATTGCTGTCTACAACTGACCAAAGTTAATTTCTACAGACACACAAGGTAATAAGACACCAAATCGATAAGACACAATTTGGATTATAGATTATAAACACAAGGTAATAAGACAAAAGTAACAGCCTGCACCATGCTGATGAGGGTTAACAGGCCCTAAACACGTTCATTTTTGACTTTTCTAGATTTATCAAATAAATGGATTGGCCAATTATCATGGAACAAGCCTAAATCACAATTATTAGTTGATTTTTGTTACAATAGATATCTCTCTACCATCTCTTCTCCTTCTTTCTTATCTCCACTCAATCACATCAGGGTATCAAGCTTGTAAATCTTGAGATCATGACTGGGTGAAGTAAAATGTATCCCCTTTGTCATTAAGACTGAGAGCACTACTTATTGGCAGGCCACTGACTTAGATCCAATATGTAATGTTGACATGAGGAACAGACACCATGTACAGCCAACATGGAGAACATCCTGTATCCCCTTTGTCATTAAGACTGGGAGCACTACTCAGTAGCAGGCCACTGACCTAGCTCCAATATGTAAAGGTGACATGAGGAACAGACACCATGTACAGCCAACATGGAGTACATCCTGTATCCCCTTTGTCATTAAGACTGGGAGCACTACTCAGTAGCAGGCCACTGACTTAGCTCCAATATGTAATGGTAACATGAGGAAAAGACACCATGTACAGCCAACATGGAGTACATCCTGTATTCCTTTTGTCATTAAGAATGGGAGCACTACTCAGTAGCAGGCCACTGACTTAGCTCCAATATGAAATGGTGACATGAGGAACAGACACCATGTACAGCCAACAAGGAGTACATCCTGTATTCCTTTTGTCATTAAGACTGGGAGCACTACTCAGTAGCAGGCCACTGACTTAGCTCCAATATGAAATGGTGACATGAGGAACAGACACTATGTACAGCCAACAAGGAGTACATCCTGTATTCCTTTTGTCATTAAGACTGGGAGCACTACTCAGTAGCAGGCCACTGACTTAGCTCCAATATGAAATGGTGACATGAGGAACTGACACCATGTACAGCCAACATGGAGTACATCCTGTATCCCCTTTGTCATTAAGACTGGGAGCACTACTCAGTAGCAGGCCACTGACTTAGCTCCAATATGAAATGGTGACATGAGGAACAGACACCATGTACAGCCAACATGGAGTACATCCTGTATTCCTTTTGTCATTAAGACTGGGAGCACTACTCAGTAGCAGGCCACTGACTTAGCTCCAATATGAAATGGTGACATGAGGAACAGACACCATGTACAGCCAACATGGAGTACATCCTGTATCCCCTTTGTCATTAAGACTGGGAGCACTACTCAGTAGCAGGCCACTGACTTAGCTCCAATATGACATGGTGACATGAGGAACAGACACCATGTACAGCCAACATGGAGTACATCCTGTATCCCCTTTGTCATTAAGACTGGGAGCACTACTCAGTAGCAGGCCACTGACTTAGCTCCAATATGAAATGGTGACATGAGGAACTGACACCATGTACAGCCAACATGGAGTACATCCTGTATCCCCTTTGTCATTAAGACTGGGAGCACTACTCAGTAGCAGGCCACTGACTTAGCTCCAATATGAAATGGTGACATGAGGAACAGACACCATGTACAGCCAACATGGAGTACATCCTGTATTCCTTTTGTCATTAAGACTGGGAGCACTACTCAGTAGCAGGCCTCTGACTTAGCTCCAATATGAAATGGTGACATGTGGAACAGACACCATGTACAGCCAACAAGGAGTACATCCTGTATCCCCTTTGTCATTAAGACTGGGAGCACTACTCAGTAGCAGGCCTCTGACTTAGCTCCAATATGACATGGTGACATGAGGAACAGACACCATGTACAGCCAACATGGAGTACATCCTGTATCCCCTTTGTCATTAAGACTGGGAGCACTACTCAGTAGCAGGCCTCTGACTTAGCTCCAATATGTAATGGTGACATGTGGAACAGACACCATGTACAGCCAACAAGGAGTACATCCTGTATCCCCTTTGTCATTAAGACTGGGAGCACTACTCAGTAGCAGGCCTCTGACTTAGCTCCAATATGTAATGGTGACATGTGGAACAGACACCATGTACAGCCAACAAGGAGTACATCCTGTATCCCCTTTGTCATTAAGACTGGGAGCACTACTCAGTAGCAGGCCTCTGACTTAGCTCCAATATGTAATGGTGACATGTGGAACAGACGCCATGTACAGCCAACATGGAGTACATCCTGTATTCCTTTTGTCATTAAGACTGGGAGCACTACTCAGTAGCAGGCCACTGACTTAGCTCCAATATGAAATGGTGACATGAGGAACAGACACCATGTACAGCCAACATGGAGTACATCCTGTATTCCTTTTGTCATTAAGACTGGGAGCACTACTCAGTAGCAGGCCTTGACTTAGCTCCAATATGAAATGGTGACATGTGGAACAGACACCATGTACAGCCAACATGGAGTACATCCTGTATCCCCTTTGTCATTAAGACTGGGAGCACTACTCAGTAGCAGGCCTCTGACTTAGCTCCAATATGACATGGTGACATGAGGAACAGACACCATGTACAGCCAACATGGAGTACATCCTGTATCCCCTTTGTCATTAAGACTGGGAGCACTACTCAGTAGCAGGCCTCTGACTTAGCTCCAATATGTAATGGTGACATGTGGAACAGACACCATGTACAGCCAACAAGGAGTACATCCTGTATCCCCTTTGTCATTAAGACTGGGAGCACTACTCAGTAGCAGGCCTCTGACTTAGCTCCAATATGTAATGGTGACATGTGGAACAGACACCATGTACAGCCAACAAGGAGTACATCCTGTATCCCCTTTGTCATTAAGACTGGGAGCACTACTCAGTAGCAGGCCTCTGACTTAGCTCCAATATGTAATGGTGACATGTGGAACAGACGCCATGTACAGCCAACATGGAGTACATCCTGTATTCCTTTTGTCATTAAGACTGGGAGCACTACTCAGTAGCAGGCCACTGACTTAGCTCCAATATGAAATGGTGACATGAGGAACAGACACCATGTACAGCCAACATGGAGTACATCCTGTATTCCTTTTGTCATTAAGACTGGGAGCACTACTCAGTAGCAGGCCACTGACTTAGCTCCAATATGAAATGGTGACATGTGGAACAGACACCATGTACAGCCAACATGGAGTACATCCTGTA